CGTAGCGTAGCGAGGTGCGTGTGTCTGCGGATCGACACCCACCACCCTTAGAAAGTTAGGTCAGGGTCGCTCGTGGTGGTTTTAGTCGGTAGGCTATGGGCGCGCGATGCCACGCTGAGGGAGGCTCAGGGGATTTCGGTCCTCTAAAGCGCCCCTCGTAACGGTGGTACGCGTGCGCGTAGAATCCGACACTCCCCCTTCCTACCACAGGGCGGGGGAGTCTTTCGAAGATTTCCACCACGTAAAAAAAAAAAAAAAAAAAAGTAGAGAATAATTTTCAATTCTTTTCAGCAATTACATTCCGATTAAACGAGAAAGGTTAAGAAACATTTCAACTATATTGCAACAACGTCATAAAATTAATGCAATATAGCTGAAATGCTTATCTACATTCTATTCTACATGCTATTCTACATTGGAAGAAAAAAGATAAACTCTGAAATAGTGCAAGCCAATAGGAACGGACCCTTCATCCAGCGGGAAAACTTCTTTGTTCCACTACTCTTCGTAGATGGAAAGAAGTATCGTAGCTTTGAAGCTCGAAGTTGACCAGGCCTGCTACAGACAGTATATACATAAAGAAGGATTGTACATTATAATACATGTACATTGATAATTATTGTCGATCAGTTCGTGCTAGTGAATAGCATCTTCACTTTTGGCCATTCGATAAAAGTGACAAGTTTATGCGCGTAAGTGGGATGTAAAAATATTGCAATGCCATAAAAAGGGGAATAATGGCTGTATTACTGCATTTTCTTTTGCCCACATAGGATTAAAAGTAAATCGACAACTTGCTGTAATTTGATTTAAGGTCGATCATGTGTCGATTGTTAGTCACTCTCGCGTTGACGGTTTTCGTTTTCACAATATTTGAATCAGCGAGAGCGAGCACTTACATAAGGAACGATGTATGGCACAGGATGACTCCAGAAATGGAAACAGGAGACAGGGTAGCGCACTGGAAAAAGGAAATGAAGGTGAATCCTGAGGAATTGGGCAACTACTTGGAGGGCGATATTATGCTCACAGAAGATCATCAAGAACATATAAACTACTGGCCTGATGTCATTATTCCCACCATATTCAGTGGCGACTTCAGTAAGTATCCTTAAGAATAGAAGTTTAACCTTTTTATATATTTAATAATAATATTTATCCATACACTATACATGTTTTTAGACATAATTCTCGCAACCTTAAAATTTTTATAAAATTGTTACACTCGTGTTTTTTCTCTGTGACTTATATATATTGCATTTATTTACCTTTTACGCTTTATTTTTTATAATCTTTTTTTTTCCAGAAATTTTCGTATTTTGCATGCTACAACATTAATTTTTTCTTTCACTATTTCTTCAATTTTTTTTCTCTAACTTAACCAACTTGGGTAAGTTAGATCTTCCTTTTTTAAACGTTCTTATCTTCTCTTACCTCCTCCTTTAGACATATTTCCGGCAACCTACTTTCCTTCGTATTCATTACTTTTAATAAGCATTTGCTTGCTTTAATCTTCGCCTTTTCAACACTTTCCCTCTCCTTTATTTGCCATATATATATATATATATATATATAGGCGTATATTTCTATTCAACTCATTTTCATATATCTGCTACGTATTTCTTCTGTTTCCTTTTCCAACCCCAGATTTCTAAGTATATCCATTGTATTAAACTGTGCTCTTAAAAGGTTCGAACATGTATCAGAATGTTTCGATTACGTAATATATCGATAATTTTCACTTGTACTAGGTTTGATGTCATTGCAGATAGTTTCCATTACATTTAAAAATTAATAGAATTATGATTACATGAATGCGTAAAGAGTTGAAACTACAAATTGTATACAATAAATATATAAGAATAACATATTATTGTTATTATAACTCATCGTAATCATGCAGATGACTAGACTACTAGTTTACAAAATTAAATATCTAACTATACGCCTTATTATCTATTAAATATTGAAGATAGTTACTGTGTTCACAATTGTGTTATTTCAATCATTTTTATTTTCAAATTTTGTATTGCAGATCAAAATGAGGTGATACGTATACTTGATGCAATGGAAACCATTCATCGTAATACATGCATCAGGTTTAAAACGATATACATGAAAAACGAATTAAATTGGAGAGACGAACGGGGTTATATCATTATCACTAGCAAAAAAACTGGGTGCTGGTGTCAGGGGATTGGCAAGATAGACAGTGGACAACAAATAAATTTACAGACTCCTGCTTGTACAAGAACACATACCATAATACATGAGTTGCTGCACGCTCTTGGTCTTGACCACGAGCACAACAGAGTAGACCGAGATCTTTACGTGATGATCAATTGGACTAATATTTCAGAAGATATGTATTTGCCTATTTAAACGACATAAGATTTAAAATGACGATACCCGTTTTTTAATAGGCATTGTAATCAAAGCATATTCTGCGTTATTATTTATTTACATTTAATATTGATTAACTTTGTAATTAATTTATCGATTAAAATAATGTAGGTATTTTTTGAGCCGACAAGTTCTTCCCCCCCCCCCCCCCCCCGTTTATGTATATCTCTGCACTCTGCAGTTTGCTTTATGAGAATTTCTAATAATTTTCTTTTGTTTTGCTGCTTAAAAACTGTTAATATTTTAAAATTAAAACCGCGACTTCTTGTATCAAAATAACATTTTTCTGATAATAAATTGAACAATCATCTACTATTATAATGATTATGCTAATCTCTATTATAAACTTCTATTTTTATCTTATGTATTATGCATCCAGACAAGCACCACAATTTCTATATGAGGAAAACCAATTATACTCTCGGTCTTCCTTACGATTACGACAGCATCATGCATTATTCACCATACGCGTTTGCCAAATACCCCAACCTAACAACCATTACTACAAAAGTAAGTCATCCTTATTTTTATAAACGTTTTTTTACGTATACTTTTACGCTGTTAGTCTCTAGTCTATCATTACTAGATTATGTTGCATTAATTACTAGTCTAGTTATTATTTACAGTAGTAGATAACGGTCAAAACCAATAGCGTAAGTCGATATCGTTTCCTAGTTTTATACAGAAAAAAAATTTTTTTATTGGTCCGCAAGTTATGCATGCTACATCGAATTATACACAGTGCATGTGTTTTTACGTATATATAAGAATAATCTTTGTAGTAAGTAGCGCAGTGGGACTTTATAGTTGAAATTTTTCAGGCTCCAAACAAATCAATCGGTGAGGCAAAGATCTTAAGTAAATTAGACATTTTAAAGATCAATATAATGTGTAATTGCAGCAGGTATCTTCGTAAGGAAGACATTGATAAAGTTAATAACTGGATAAACAAGGACTTAGTGTGCCAAAAGAAAATTGTAAATTAAAAATATTTAATAATATCTTTTTAATAATATCTTGTAAATGATAATGGCTTTGTGTAATAACAAGAAATTCTAAATTAAGAATATTTGATCTCATTATTATGTATTAATATATAATCGTGATTAAGAATTATAATACACACACACACACACAAATTTTTTTTTTACCATCACAAAGCTTCCTCTAGGAAGCAAAAATGTACTTGTGCTTCTCATATGTACAAACATACGTATACATATATATAAGTACAACATATTTTTTATAGAAAATCTTATTCCTTTCCCATTTTTATTGATATAATCCAACAATGTATGAGTACCACTGCGTGTTTTTGATATTACAATTTCTGGGACAATTTCTTTACGCTGAAAACCTCTAAATGGTTTTCAGGTAAGTAGCTACTGAGCATTGACCTTAAAGGTTTTCTGACCTATTGTTAGAAGCCTTTTGTGTGTGATTCGTTTTTGACGAAGAAAACTATTTTCGACAGGTACGACCTGCGCGTGCTCTCATTATCAGTGTTGAATGGTATCCCATGGTGCCCCAAATGCACATAATATAGAACGGTGAAACGTAATAAAAAAAAAATAAATGATACATGATTATCTATAATAAAATGTCAAGAGATGCTAGAAAGTTACACCTAATTTTTAGCACGTGCATATATTTTACTACAAAAACAATATTAAAACATTTCTAAACGGTTAAAAAGTTATTTACGCATCACGAAAACCATTTATGTCACGTGCGTCTCGAAACTACGGACTTTGATGATTACCACCTAGATACGAAGTATGGGCAACGAAATAACCGTCACATGATACTTATAGTTGAATCAACTTAAACATTCTGGATTACCCTAAACAGTCAATGATACATGGTACCCCGTGGCTCACGGTGTTTCGGTCTCCCCTATATGTATATAGACCAGGCCTGGTCAACTTCGACCTTCGGATTCCGGAGCTACGATACTTCTCCCTTTCCATTTGTGGAGAACGAAAAAAAGGTTTCTCCGCTAAATAAAGTTGAGCGGGCACAATTCATTTCATTCAGCAGGCATGATTTATTTTGTATATAGGTAAAAAAGCCCTTTTTTCCACTCTTTGTAAACGAAAAAGGCGAAGTGTCGTAGCTTTGGAGCTCGAAGTTGACCATACCTGACATAGAAAATATATAAATATATAATAGAATGATCGTACACCGATAATTATTGTCGATTAATTCGTGCTGGTGATTATCATTCTCATTAAATTGGCCACTTGATAGGAGCAATGAGTTTAGTTAATTAACGATATAGCGATTGACTCTTGACATTTTCAAATCTAAAACGAGGAAAATGTAGGAATTGTTATTCGTTAAAGAGGAAAGGATATCTCAAATTGATGATACATTTCAAAAGAGATATGAGGTATCCACGAAAATATGTTTTATTTTTGTACATTATTACGAGTGATTCGTAGAATACACTGCGGCAATGTACTATTTACAGTACAACGAAGTTTCTTACTCTATTTACTCTCGGTGGAAATGCAGAGGAAGATCGCAATCGGACGATTTGCTCATTAAAAATTCCGCGCTTAATAGACCCGTTTGGTTTGGGTGATACAATCTTCGGAAAATTACTACGAAACGAACTGAAATATACATACGATACATCATCAAATGAGTGTAAAATAAATTCCGAATTGTCATGTAACTAGGAAAAAGTGTAACATGATTTCTTTTTTTAGTAAAATTATAAAGATTTTGCTAAAGAATTATCGTCCTCGATGGATCAGATAAATTACATAACTTATTCAAACAAATATACGCTTTTAAATAGTATAATAATAATAATACATCAAATAATATCTCTTAATTAAGCTAATTAATTAATAATAAAAAATTTTATAAAATTTTCAAAAGGGTACAAACTTGTGTTATGTAAAATTTATATTTCTCATCTACGGTGGGAAATTCGAAGCAATACAATCCGCAAGAGAAGTGGAATGCACGCGTGCGCGCGCGCGTATTCCACTTGATTTTTAAATTACTTATCTTAAGAATAATTTTATATATATTTTCGATTCCTTATATAAACATTCTACGTTTTCCAAACTCCTTTACTTTTTCTTTTCATTTCTCTCAGTTAGTTATCTGTGTGGGAAACACAATGTCCTTAGCGAAATGTTAATAGGACGGTGTAATCGGATCGTTTGATTAAACAATTTTGGGTCAACCGATCCAGGTCTTCTTGATGAAATCTGCCGCTCTTTCACCTGTAACAACATACGTGTACACATACAGATATAAAAAGACGAAATAAAAAGAAAAAAAAAAGATTTACATACCGATCATGATTGCCGGTGCATTCGTGTTGCCAGACGTCACCTTCGGCATGATGCTCGTGTCGGCCACTCTTACACCACGCACCCCTCTAACTCGCAATTGATTGTCAACCACGGCCAGTGGATCGTCTGGCGGTCCCATTTTGCAGGATCCCGCCTGATGATTCTCGGGCGCTGTGTCATGACGAACCGCGCACTCCCAGTAAGCGTCGCAACCGAACTTTAGGTGCTCGCAGTTCTTTACGGGAGTTCGGTCCAGCTCGAAACCGTACCTGAAAAGGATTTCCACGATATCAGCGTAAGAACAAATCAAGATTTTTAAGTCATCTTTGTTTATAATAAAAATAATCAACTATGTTAAAAGAAGAAACATTTTATTTATTTGAGTAAAGCTCGCTTCACACGACCTATTATTCGCGTCAAAATATTTATATTTTTTTTATATTTTTAGGTTGCCGAAGAACATTTGCGAAGAATTAAAATACACGGATATATAAAATGTATATTAAAATATACACATACGTCAAGATGCACCGAATGTAAAATTATAAACAGAATTTTATCCTAAAATTTAATGCAAGTAAGTAATAAATTGTTCAAAATGGAATTAAATAAGACATTCAGAAAATATAGAAATAATAGCGAAAAAAAGATATATTTGCTACTTTCTATCTTATTTTTTTAATGATATAATTTCTGCGTTCATTACAGGAAAGCCGTCGAGAAAAGTTCGTACCTTTTGAGCGCCTGGGTCTCCGATAATCGGATGCTAAACTTAACAGCCTCTACGAGAGCGGCCACATCGTCAGGATGAGTCAGGTATTTAGGGTAGATCAGCGGCTTCGAGAGAGGATCGTTGTTTCGCAAGCGCAGATAACCGCGACTCTTCGGATGCAGGATAGTCGGGATGACGTAGATGCTGCGGTTCGTACCCTTCTTTTCGCCCACCATACCAGTCTCCGCGCAATCGGCCAGGAAACCGCCAAAGATTAGCTGCACGTCGGGATGATCCTCCCTCGGATCCGCATACTTAGTGTTTATCATTGCCGTCACCTCGGATATTCCTGGATCAACGCAACGCTAAGTATGATCCTGTCTCATCTCGTATCCAAAAATTTAGTGATATTGTTAATTTACTATATGTATGATTGTAAATAATTTTATGATGTGATATGTGTAACGATCACAATGTGATCGTCAAGAATTCCACATCATTAAAAGGAATATTTTTGCAGTCAAATATTCAATTTACAACAATAACTGATGCGTCAAGCAATCTGTTGTATTTTTTAGAATTAATTTAAATTTGATTAATGAATGAAAAATTCAGTCATTGATCTGATCCAATCAACTTCGCTTTCAAGCGAAATTCGAAACACCAGTATTTCAAACCGACCAAAATGCAATGGACGTTTCTGCAACACTCTTATCTTGACCGCGTTCGTTACCCTTATGTAATTTAATCGAACCGCATCGCATAACTGATCCGCGCGGCCGATGTCAAGAGAAGCGATTTTGCGAGCTGCATTTTAGCGAGAGAACTGTGGCCCATTACAACGTCTCGCCACGCCAGCGGCGGCGTTTCGTGCAGGGAGAAGAGAGAGAGACGCGAGTCTCAGACGTGAAGGAGTTCAGCCCCGGAGGTGACGCTCGTTAAAAACCAGCACGGCTCGGGGCTACCGGTCGTGCCGGATACCTTAAAAAGCGCTCTGGGTTATGATCGAGTTAGTCTCGTGAAAGGGATACAGCACACGAAGACCGGAGTACGTATCTACATAAATTCCCGAGCAATTTACTCGGGCGAATTCCCGACGCGAAGCTACGTGCTCGCTTTATTTTTCCAACAGTTGCCCTGCTGCTTTCGATTAATAAGGATCGAAAGGTAGAGAGCGGAGTGCGAGGTTGATGCCGCCTGATCAGCATCTGTAATTGAGCGCGAAAATTAATTAGACGATCGTACAGATCGCACGAAATAACGATCCCGAACAAACTTTCTCGCGCATAACTTCTTTTGTTCTTTCATATATACATATATAAAGTTCTTTTTAACCACATTTTTACTAACACGCGATATAATTTAGCTTATAATGTAAATGGAAATGCAAATGTAATTTGTAGAAAGGTCAATGACGGGATTGTTCAGCGTAAATGAGTTGTTAATATTAATCTATGAGAAGATGAATGTAAATATTAGACTGCTGCTGCATCAATCATGATAGTCTCATAAATTATCGCACTTAAATAAATATTATTGCAATAAGATTATTAGCTGTTGACATGTCTAACAGTTGTGTCGGGTAATTGTTTTCACGTCGCTAAAATAATTTTACTTTAATGTTACTAAATATTTCTATACGCGTTTTATTCTTTCATCATAATGTTTCTCAGTCCCTTGTCCCTTCTTCGGATCATAGAACAACGCGTGGGAAATAATATTCGTGACATCGATAATGTATAGAGAGTGTGCGAAACAACGAGGAATAGAACAGGGATCGCCGGATAATTCGCATTGACAAATCGTAAAAGGAGAGTAGGCACGAGTGCCGCGCGCGAAGCGACGACTCGACCGGCTTTAAGTTGGCCCGCAATTCGGACGACGGTAAATAGATCTGTCGGCCCGGATAAGTCACGTAATCGCGGGGTCGACAGAACCCAGGAACGTGACCATTGTGCAATAATACACTTTCACTGCTCGCGCACGAAACCCGCAAATTAACGCTCCGAGATGCAACATCCTTCGACATGGTAAACAGGAAGGAGAAACGGGCCGGTACTTTAACACGACCGCGCTGCCCCGATCAATGAAATTGCAATTTCCCCCTAGAGCGGGAGTCTCGATCTCAAGTCTCGATCCTTCCAATGTAATAACGAGTCAATGATAGTTTTATACTCGTTGACTAAAAATACTGACAGGATACGAAGCTAACAATCTTTTCGCGATTTGACGTTTTCTCCACCAAACCTTAACTGTCTTTTAAGAAGTTAAATAATTCTTCTTCTTGAAAATATTGTAAGCAAATCAATTTTAAATACATACTTCTTTACCTCTCTCTCTCTCTCTCTCTCTCTCTCTCTCTCTCTCTCTCTCCCTCGTTTTATTTTTACATTGAAAAATTTTCAAGTAAACGTTTAGAACAGTCTATCTCACCTGTGCCAGACATCAGCCCGTCCCTGAAGAGCAAGTACTCCATGGCGGTCGCCCAATTGAGTGGAGTGGTATCGGTATCGTTGATGGTGAAGATCAGCGAGTAGGCGACATGATTGTGAAGATTTTTGCCGACACCCGGGAGATCACGGACAACTGGCACACCCACCGCATTGAGCTCCTCGCGAGGTCCTATGCCACTGTTTAAGAGGATTTGCGGCGAGTTAACGGCACCTAAACACACAATTTCATTGCGGAGATCTGTGCGCACGATAGATAACGCTAATTATATGATAAATCGTACAGGTCTTGCCACTGGATAATATTGTGGACATTAAAAGATAACGTATTTATTTAATTAAATCTATGAAATCAATTTATAAAGATTTAAAAACGGAAAAATCATTTCTTCATCTACCGTAAGCTTTTGAATTTCTGAAGATAAGAAATTTATCGGCGTGTATTTATCTTCTATCGCTTTAACGTTACTGCGAAGCTTAGTACCCCAAGGACATCGCAAAACGCGCAATCCGTATTGTTCGGGAGAAATCGATTACTACCCCTCGAGAGACTTTGTGGAAGGATGAGTAATTAAGACTGACTCTGTGTGTGCGTGTGTGTGTGTGGAGAGCGTGTGGTGTTTCTAAACAAAGATTTCTATATGTACGACATCCTCTCGACATGAATAGAAATGTATAGTTGCTCCTCTTCAGCTTCCCTACGCGGACGAAGATAAGACAGAACCCAGAATGTGTTCGAGCGCTCCACGAGAAGTCCACAGAGATTTGCCTGACTCGCGCCCGGTTTAAATTACACACGAAGCCGACGAAGCGTTCGTTATCTCAATTGGAATTACCTCCGCTCACGACCACCTCTTTCGCCACCGACACGTGTTTCATCATTCCGTCGTGAAGGAACTCGACGCCGACCGCCCTGTTATCCTTGTCGAATAGGATCCTCGTCGCCGTCGAGTTCAGCATTATGTGGAGATTCGGCCGATTCCGGGCGGGACGTAGGAAGGCGCGCGCCGTGGAGAGCCGCGAGCCATTTCTGGACGTGGTCTGCGCTATGGCGAAGCCGGTGTGGGTCCGTCCGTTCAGATCAACCGTGTCGTATCCTGATACAGATAGAAGCAAGGTTGGGAAAGAGTGAGACAAAAGCAATCCAAGTCTCGGATCTCTTGGTTAATCCTGATAGACGTAGGAGTAAAGGTCATCTGGTCGCTCGATGAGCCTCGCTCGACTACACATACCCAGTTCCTTGCCGGCCTCCAGCAGAGCGAAGCTCAACGGCGGGTGATAAGGAAACTGCATGACCGTGAGCGGCCCACCGACCCCGTGATAACCGTAATCCATGCTGTTCACTTGCTGATTATCCTCGCTCCGTATAAAATATGGAAGGACGTCGCGATAGGACCATCCGACGTTGCCCAGCCTGGCCCAGTCGTCGTAATCCTTGCGCGATCCTCTCATATACGTCATCCCATTCATGACGCTCGTACCGCCGAGGACCTGCGGATTCAAGTTTTACATTATCTGGTTTCATACTGCAGCTTCGTATGGATACTTCACGAACAAGTACCAAAACTCGCTAATTTTAAATTAAAACTAGTAAATTTATTTTAAGACCTTACTGATTACATTATAAAATTCATTAATTTTTTATGTTTCCTATAATTACATGAAATACTTAAAGTTTTTAAAAATAAAAACATTGAATTGTCAACTTTAAATCGTGATATAATTTAAGTGGAGAGTTTAATTGGTACTAATTAGAAGAATTAACACCAGCAGTTTCTCCCTCTCCCTCTCTCTTTTTTTCTTTCATACTTAATTCTACATACCTTTCCTCTAGGCCAGTAACATTTTCTGTGCTCCTTGTTCAAGCAAGCTTCATCCTCGCTCTCGGTGGTGTATTGCCAATCGATCTCACTGCCGATGAAATTGAAGAAGAACGAGGGTATCTGGGTGCCCGTTGGCTCGTCTAATCCAGCTTCCAACAGCAACACGGAAAATCTCGGCTCCTCCGACAATCTGGCCGCGACAGTCGCACCAGCGCTACCGCCTCCGATCACTACGAAGTCGTACCTGAAGAAGGAAAAAAAGAAGGGTGACATCGCGTTTATTCGAAAATAATTAAAGAAATGTCCAATGTCTCGTCCGGTTTTCCATCGTACACGTACATCGCGTACATCAGTTTTTGCGTTTAATCATTGCGCTGGATCATCGACTTTGCGATGAATGAAGAGCGACGAAGTGGCTGAGAACGTTTAGCGTATGCGAATTTTTTTCTCAACCAGAATTTCGGTACTTACCCCACACATTAATTTGGAAGACACGACATTTCGAAAGCAAGAATGTCGTGTTGGCGCGGAAGATTGCTCGGTTTCCGACGATTTACGACGTACGCTCGTTTACGAAAGGCACGTTAATTAGCGGAGTCGTGTTATTAAGCGATCTTCTTACCGTCTTACGAATTAGAAACCGGGTTACAGGGACAGCGAAGAGAGATTATTACGAAGGGAGAAATGAAAATTTAAATTCAACTGTTAAATTAAATTATTTGCTCTCTCACATTAAGTCTTCTTCTACATTTTTAATTGAGCAATTACATCAATGATTATCAGTGCATAATTAATAATTTAATAAGCCACGTTCTGACGTTTTTAATTAATCTATTAAATTCAATTCTTAATTCGCCTAGTAAGCTAATGATTGTTACATCATGGACGTTGGCAAATTCGATCGATTTTGCGTCCCACCAAGCCCCTCCGTATTGGGTGCACCCTTTCCCTTCTAGCTACGCCTGACTATAATATCGGCATCGGGCGAAAGGCGGGTTTCTCAGGAGGTTGCCTGGGACGATCGTAAGTGTCCGTGGTATATGCTCTCAGCTGAATGCCACGGCGTGCCCGTATCCGTATATATACTCTACGGGGGACAATGACATACTTTTACGCGCGGGACTTGCTAGAATGGCGCACACGTGATTTTATAATAGGGTCTCTCCGATGATCCGCTCTTCCCCTCGGAGCTCTGCTTATTCTTGCTAATCGATTTCTCCTTAAAGTCGCTGAGAGGCACGTGCTTTGTAAATGTTGAAGGGTAAAGTTCGTAAAAATGCAATTTAAGGAACAATTAACATTTTATTGACATTTTCCTTTTTTTTTTAGTAAAAGCAGCGATTAGTAAAAAGACACTTTATTTTAAAGCTGACGCTTTTTTATCGTTAACGAATGAATATCATATACATTTCTTGCGAAAGATATGAATCTTTTATGTCTTATTTTAATTCATTTTGATTAATGTCCCCTTTAGCATGCGAATAATGAATGTATCATGAGACACGTGTGTGATGCAAAGTGCAATACGCCTTACATCAGTTTGTCTTATATGTAGCAACTACGTTGCTATCAAAATCCAATATTAGAAAATCACCAATGAACAAGAATGCATATAGATAAACAATGTTTCTCATTATATACGTATGTAAATTCACTGGAATATATATGCCAAATGACTCAGGTTTGTCTAATTGCCGGTGGCGTATATAAGACAGGTCGAAACACACTATCAAACCTGTTTCCATCTTCGCCAAACGGGTTTCCGTATGACACGTAATAAACTTCACGGCACACCGGCACTCCGTCCTTTTTCTTGTTCTCCCTTTCTTGTTGACGGTCGCGGTTTCACAGATCATTTTGCGTCCTTCGCGCGTGATAGGACGGAACGTGATAGAATAAAACGACGAAGTATCGTTTAACAAAAAGTTTCTTTTTTAAGCTTGTTACATTCGAATATTAAACCATGCAATCAAGGCATAAAGGGTAGCATTTTGAAGATTTTAATACGGAGAGAAGACGCCGGAATGCGGAACGCCGTGTGCGCGTTCAAGGACCAAATAAATAAATTAAACAAACTTGAAAATTAAATAAATTGAAATAAATTTTATCAGGCGCGTTTTTAAATATAATTTTATTTTTACATTTATACTTTTCAGCGCGTTTTCTTCATAGCTTTTTCCCCTCTCTAAGAGCTTCCCCGCAATTCTTTCGCGCGTCGGTGCGTGCAGCGCAAGTGCGCGTCGATGAAGCGACCAGATGTGACGCAACGGAAGAGATGCATCGGAACAATAGCCCGCGGTATTACGTACGCGCGTACACTTACGATCTCGCGGATAGAGGCGGTGCATGGATGCTCGTGTTTTCTTTCCGCGACAACGAAAGAGAGAAATGAGAGGCGCACACCGGCAATAAGACGATATCCCTGCGGTATTACGTGAGTAACGTGTGTCTCGCGACACAATCGTACACCGTATTTAGGATTCGTCGCGGAACGCTTCCCGCGGATGCACGATGCTCTCTTCTCCTTCGCGGAAGAAATCTCTCCCGTCGATAAGTGGGCCCGGGAGATCTCACACGCACGGGCGAGAGAAAAAGCGCGACGCGTGTTATTACAACCAGCGCGCGCGCACAATGCGACGTAACCGGTCGCGAAGATAAGGAAACCGGGATGTTGGGCTCGTCCTCGCGACCGTATCTCGCGACCTCGGTCAAACGATCAAGCGATGATTAGACGAAAACAAGGAAACCGCTTTGGCGAGTTCCCTATAAGCTCGCGTGTTCCCGTTATCCAGGCTGATCACTGATAATTAAGATAGTCGGACAAGTTGACGATCTAGCGGACAGTCGTGACTCAGGTCATGAGATTTATGAACGTATTCAACATTTACGAACTCCCGAGAGATAGATACCGTTCCTAGTCTCCGACGAGTTCTTTTTATTTTCCTTCATCGATGTCGTTGATATCGTTAATGCGCCTACTGATTGTCGCACAAATGATCGATAAACACGTCATGTATTTCTCGTATATCTACACGCGGATAACAACTCCCGGGGGCGAATTGATTGCCGTTATCGCGCAATCGACGAAAGACTCGAAAGAAATCGGCGTTAAAAGCGGAGTCGATCAGATCCTTCTCCGTTTACCCGTGACCCACATATTCGAATTTAACGATCACCTCGTTCACAACGGTCTTTGTATGAAATTTACCTCGTATTGACACTGCTCGGTGGTGCAGGTCGGTTGCACGGGTCCTCGAGGTCGCATTGGCTACGCAGGAAGACTTCGAGCAGCCCCATGAAGAGCATGAAGGACGAGCCGCCGCATGTCGAGGCCAAAGTTGGTCCTGCGGACGTGATTAACGGACAATTGCAGCTCATCTGGAACAGAAACGTTTCCGTTGTTTTTCACCGTGTGAGTAATGACTCGGCGCAAATCGCGCGACTCTATTGCGCCGCAACACCGAGAGCCGAGAGGCTCACCTCAAGACACAACGATTTACTTTGACGGATCTAATCGAAATCGAGCGTTCTCGTATAAAACGTTCTTTTATACGAACAATAAATAACGTATATATCGACAGGGAAAGGTCTTTGTCAAATCGTCGCGTGTCGATTCCAAGGAGAACGTATTTTATTTGAGAACGCCTCTGCAAGCTGCACAATTAACTGACCGCAGAGATGCGCGATCATTTAATTTACGCGTATTACTGTGATTACGTAAATTACGCGATAATCATTACGTCTTCTTATACCGCAAAGATAGCGGTAATTGTAATCGGTTTTTATTACAATATGATTATGCGGATTAAAAGGATCGTTTCTTGGCGACAAGTCATGACTTTAGCCGCTCTCCCTTTGTTATAGTCTTCAGTGCTCTTTAATTGCTCGCTTGAGAGGCAAAGCGTGCGATCTGCGAAAGTAATATTTTCATTCGGCAAAGGAGCCGAGGCATCTAAACAATATCCCTTAAACCGGTCATGCATCGGTGCAACGGCTCCGCCGAGAGCGCGTTTATCTTCGATCCGGTGCATCGCCGGCGGACCATGAAGCGGAGCTCCAAGCTCCGTGGAGAACAAAAGCCCGAAACGAGAGTGAGAGTGCGCATACCGACGTCGCCGTTATCGTCGTCGTCGTCGTAACGAACGTGTAACAGCCCCGTAATAGAGTGTCCAGCCGTAAATTCATTCAGCTCTGCCGACGATCGCGAGAGGCGGCGCCCTCGCGACCTCACGACGCAGCACGTGCTTTCTATACAATGCAACACGACTGCGTCTCTCGTGCGGCGGTATGCACACCAGCTTGTAAGTATGCATGCGCGAGTGTAGCGGTGAAACTTTTTTTTACACCGCGTGTTTCCTCTTCCGACATTTCTCACAGTCGGATACATAATCGCGCGAGGCGTAACGCGCCGAATGTCTAATACCGCGAGCCCGCGAGTGAAGCGGAACGATTGTACACGTAGGAATGCATTCATGCGACGCTCCAAATTTCGGCTTGACGGGGATAAGAGATATGCAGGGAAAAAAGGTCTATGAGAGTAATACGCCGCACATTGGCTCCTCATTGAAAAGGGAAAGGTCTAGATACCAAGGTCGATGGTATCTAGATCTGTAATTGGCTTTATTATATTTCAAAGATACGCGAATTATATATTTTCCGATTCCTAGATAAGAATTTCCTGCAGGAATTTTTTAACTAATTAAGGAGAAAGGTAAGGCTGGACTTTTCGCGTTGACAGATCAATTCTTATACATATGCGTCGGAAAATCTGTTGTAGGTGGATTTTTGACGAGCGACGGATCTTGAGACACGGTCCTTATCAACGAAACTAGATCCGACGTGTTGTATCGCACGGATGTACGTGACACAACACGGTGAGGAGGTAAGGAAACAGAAGGAGAAGCTGTAAAATAGCACTGACTTTCGTAATCGACGGCGAGACAGTGCGCGGTTCTCGGTCAGTGAACGTAACGGTGTTGAGGCTTTGCGAAGGAGCGTACACGCTCGAGAGACGTACATACAGCGTACAGCGTACAGCTGTAGGCGAATTCGGGCTCCTGCGATTACGTGCTAAAGTATCATAATGTACCTCCGCACTGGCGGAATGTAATAAAGCTCGATTAAACTGGGGAACGAGGAAGCTCGTCTTATTTGTATATTCTATCAAAGATAATTGTAATAATAATAATAATCGTTCAGTGAAATCCGGATATTGAAAATGTCGGAAATGCTGATGACTTATGCAGATCATGCTATATAATAATTAATAATATTCCTGAACCGCATTTGTATAAAATATTTACTTGAACGAAGCGTAATTAATTTTATAACACTTTAAATTTCAATGGAATGTTGACATAAATGATAAATCAAGATATGTCAACTTTAGCGATATATTATTATATTATTTACTTGGCTATATTTATACCACTTTCAAAACGGAACGGTTGACATACCTGTTTAATTATAATTAGACACCTGTTATTTATTTTACTCGACGTTAATGCGCTTCCTGATTAATCCACCGTCCAAGCCCGCTGGATATCTTTTGCTCGAAATGGAAAATCTCGATAAAGGAGATAATTTTCGATCGTTTAGAGTGATGGAAGTATGAGTGGAAATATTTTGCGCAACTCTTTTCGCCGTGCGTACGTGCGTGCATGCGGGCGTGCGTACGAGCATCAACGGACCATTGAGAAATTGCCCGCTCGTAATCCCAGCAATCCCGAAGAACGCGCCTCGCTTCCCATTTTACGCAAATTATCGCAATACTTGGATGTGTACAATAACGAAACGAGACCTTTCTCTCTCTCTCTCTCTCTTCTCAGAGATTTCTCATCGCGCTTCGTTTATTACCGATGATATCTGTAATTGACCTCTGAATATTTTTTCTGACCTATCTTCAATAAGGTTTTTAAACATTCTCATCTCTAAGAATTTAAAAAATAGAAAAATAGAAGTGGTGAGAAAACAATCATTTATAACGCATTTATAATATTATATTATACTTATGATTTATAAATGGTTCGATCCTTTGTAACCACTTGAGACTGTCTCGCGTGAACGTTGACTGACGTTTCGCATTTTTCTAATTGTCACTCGTGTATTTGTTATCCGACATCCGTTATACGCAACAATCAATCGCGTAACAGTTTACAGTTTGACCGCCGATAATGTTTGTTCGCACAGCACCTGAGAGGGTGTTAATTGGAATTTATGTAACTTAAAAATGCTTAACGTTAACAACGCAATCGCTGCAAAGTATCGTTTTCCGCAAATTACTGTACGCTTCTCGATCTTCGAGCGTGAAAATGTAGATATTACACGCCGCGTTACATATTTCCTGGCGTGATTTTCCATGTCAATTTCATCTGTTTCCCTATGTTCACCATATCATACGTATATCTCGTTCCCATATCTGGTTCATCATATTATACGCATATCTGATGTAGTAATAATTTGATTACGCAATACGTTACGTGCAAGATGATCTCAACGTCCAATTCTTTCGGACAACCTTATTTCCCCATAATTACGGGATATTCGGTAATGACGAATTTCACCACGAATCAATACAATTAAGAATTATTCTCTTCTATGTACGGCCGGATATCTGCCTAATTGCTTTTTAATGAACGTAGGCGTGCAAGGCTGCCAGGTATTGAACAATTATGATTGCGTTCTTTATAATTTTCGTGAACTCCAAGGCTCTTACGATTTCATTAGACCAAATTACCGTTTCCACAGCTCGTTATTAATTTTTTTTTTTTATAATCATATACAATCGTGCCTCTGCGCGAAACAACGCGCGGCTCAAAACGAAGAATTATCGCGTTACGCGTTATATCTCTCACGTAATTTAATTGATCTTTACAGGCGTTGATATGTCTTTCAAGGACTTGCAAGTGGATATCATGTCCTGCCGATAGGCTCGAGAGACGAATTATGCATGTTCTACGAGAAGAAGACACCGTGCATGTCGATACGGTGACGATTGTAGCGTTTCAAGGGAAAGGTAGGTCGACCTGACAACGCTTAATGCCAAGGTACACGATTATGCGGATAGCGAATTAATCCTGCATCTATCCCGGTGTTTATAATTCAATAAGTAATTAATTATATTACACATAGGGACACAATTCCTAGTGGCAGAAACGCGTCAATCGTGTGTAATACACATTAGAGACAAGAAGACGCAGCTCAGATATGCCTTTCACTCATATTCTCCCGTCAGATGCAAATATGCGAGCACTTATGTATTTATAAATGCACGTATTTTTATAAGATTATGTACCACGTTTCTTTCTCCGGGTGATAGATGTTTATCGACTCGTTAATTCGCTAACAGAAATTTTCATATTTCTCCGCACACATATCGCGCGGAAATAATTATATAGTCGTCAGGACTTTTAATGAATATTACCTAGTAGAATTTATCTTAACTTGCATAGTATTTCATTTTATACAACTGTAATCATATAAAAACATCAAAATTAATTAATTTAAATAATGATTAATTAAACTAAACTTAACTGACAAAAGCTAGAAACAAATTAAATAATTAACTAATTCTCTGTCTCCCTTTTTCCCTTCTTCTCCTTCTCTTTTTATCTCTTAACAATAACAGTGTTAATTAAAAAATAAATAAAAAATCGATTAAACTTTCGTTAATAATCATTTATGCTTATGTTTCATGAATATGAAAATTGCAGGTCGCATCAACCGTCTCGATTTCACTGTCACGAGTGAAAAGATACAGAGAGATCATCTCCGGTACACAAATCTCGACTCGCCGAAATGACACCGGTTTCAAGACCTGGCAGTTCTTACCAAGTGCCAGAGTAAAGGTAAAAAGGCAAGGAACTTACCTTTCAAGGATGGTCACCCCGTATCCTTCGAAAGATAATTGCTCGACTAGGGCCGCCGCAGTGCAGCGCGGAAAAGACGCACGAGAGAGTAGCGTAGCTCGCGGTACCGCGATCAACGGCCGACTAGACCGGTACCATTCCCCATCGCCGTGGTAATATTCGACAACTTCCACCACTTTCCTACCTTCTCTCTTCTGCTTCGCACTCGCAGGAGCAGTTTCGGGAATTCACGTGCGACCAGATCGCGTCATAAGGAAATTTCACGGTGATGTACCGGTGGAGAAGCTGGCAGGCACTAATTAAATTATTACGGACTCTTTTCTGAAGATCTCTTAATGACAAAGAAATTCTGCGTAATATACTGTCATTATAAACCGCTGACCGTCGTTCGTTGCAATTAAATTATCACGTCCTAAGAATAGTTGCTTATGACAGAATGTACTGTTTCAAATTAAGCAATTATTGAGGAATACGTTTCATGGGAAATTGAATTAGGTAATTGTTTTATTTAGTATAATATAATTGTTTATTTAATATAATATAATTGTCAATACGGCACATATTACCCGAAGGGAATTTCAAGTTAAATATGCAGAAACATCGAAAAAGAATATAAAGTTAAGAAAAATATATTTAGTTAACTCGTCTAATACGATTTAAACGCGAAGAGAAACGATATTCGAGTGAGGGATAAATTCATTTCCCGCGGACACACAGACCAACACCGTTCTCGAAAGTGCGCGAAATGCCGCAATTTCTCACTGCCATTGTATATTTACTCTACCCTCGGGCTAACAACCGCGGAAGCGATTTACAAACGAACAATTTCGTGTCTAAAATCACGCCATGGGAAGGAAAAGGAAAGGCGACGACAAGGAGGTAATAAAAACCCATAAATTTTGCACTCGATTAGAAACGGTATCGTTTCCCATCACGATCCCGTCATTTTCGATGCCGCCGATGTTGTCATAGCTCTCGTGACTGCAGAGGAATGTTCGTCGTACACACCGCGCTCAGCCGCTTGCTTCTCATATTATTGTTACGGGTGTAATGAGGCGATGCCTCGTAGGAGAACGTTACTGTACGTTCGCTCGGCCGCCGGGTAATTGGCCGAAAGGAAACGTGATCGGAGTATCGCGCTGAAACCGAAATTCGGAACCGGTTTCACAAGTCATCCAGAACAAGATGAAGACGTTGAGACGTCGTTCGCGCGAGTTCGTTTGCGCATACCTGATTTCCTTTCCGACGTTCGACGAAACGTTCGGAGATTTGCCTCGAAGAAGATCCACCGTGTTCGCGACTCGATTTGCCAACGTCGTAAACGGATATCGTGTCATAAGGGTAATTTGCAAGACCGTGGAGTTTCTCGTCCCGCGCGCTGTAATCACTTTGCCCCGTTGAAGCAGGTGGACTGAGTGTCGCAAGATTTTTATTGCGCCCGTCTACATATCGCGTTTCAGAAACTCGGCTCCTCTTCTCGCCCGTAATTTGGCTTCGCGTGGACGTTTCTACGTCGGCCAACGTATTATTTTTACCTGGAAATATCAATAACGCGTTGCACCGAGGCTAGAGATTGTAATCGTACGTATATGATTAAATCTGTGTTTTTTTTTTGCTACATTGCAGAAATTTTTTTGTGTATTATATCATATCGTACAATCGCTCTATTAAATTATTCTCATTCTTGTTTCCTTGCGTTTGTTATTACTGTATTTTTTGCTACATTGCAGAGCTTCGAAATTTTTTTTGTATTACATCATATCGTACAATCGCTATTAAATTAGTCTCATTTCCGTCGTCTTGCATTACTTTTATGCGAACTAACGTGACGTTATCAGAATCATTCTTACAAGAATCACCCGTTGCGAGATCAGCGATGCTTGATTTGGATCCTTGCTCGCTTGATTGCGGCTCGTTTCGTTCCAGATAATCGTGCATCATATACCACGGTTGCCACTCGTAGTTCTGCATGGTTCGAATATAATGGAATAAACAATTACCGTATACCAATTCTATTCACTGAAGGTACAAACCAAACATTTGAAATCCTTCGAAGCGTACTCACGTCATAATAATTGTCTAGTTCTTTGTCGCGAATACTCGGCGGAGCAGTATTTGTCTTTTCTATCGCTGGAAAACTCGCACGATCGTCGGATGAGTCATTAGAATTATTCTTCTCGATGTTTTCTATCTCGACAATCGTCGAACCATTTGTATAATTAGCAATCTTATCGTCTGCAATTGTCGAGGTACTATCCATCCTCGTATCTCCAATATCTAAAACAGTAACATTTATACACAGGATTAGAGAAGAAATATATAAGCCGTGTTATTTAAATAATTCAAATAAATTTGGATTAAAAGAAAACTGAGTGACTTGATTATACCGCGAGTATGAAATATTTAAAAAATTAACTTTAAGTTGTGCATCACGAATTTATCCTTAAAGAGTTTTATGGTACACCGGGTATTTCAGCCCAAGCTTTTTCGAGATTTTTCTTAAATTCCTGCCATACGTTATTCGTTGATCAGAGTATAATTCCAGCTAACATACCTGTAGGTGTTGTTTCTGTTAAAGATATTAAAGCTGCCTCATTAAAAAGGTGGTCGAGCGCGTCATTGAAGAATGGTAAAAATTGTCCTCGTCTCCTCGCATCCTCGACGAGGATCACCGGCTCGTACGGCGGCAATAAAATCTTGTACGGTTCTTGTGGCGCTTGGTACCTCCATCCGTTTTCGTCCTTCACTTCTAATGAACGATACGGATCGTTCTTTATCCAGATTGGATAACCTTGCCCAAGAAAGTTAATGTGCTCCAACATCACGGGAAGGGGCAACGTGTCGTCGGTCGCTATGTAGATCTTCGTCGCTTCTAATCTCTCCATGTCACGCGACATAGTTGGCTTGGTATTCTCATCAGTGGGCAAAGTTGCCGGAAAAGTTGAGCTCTTAGACGAATCAGAGAATTCAGAACTGATATAGGACGGTATTGATAGTCGGATCTTATATCTAAGATCATCTTAAGTCTGGTCAAAAGCAGTCTTAAGACTCCGTCTAGCCAATCAAATGACCGTATTAGCAATTTAAGACATTACTTAAGACGGTCTTGAAATAAGATCTACTATGAATACTGGCCATAGAGAATGGATTTCGATGTCTGAGTAGCTGATTCCGAAAACAATGTCTATTAACAATAATAAAAGAATGTCTATTAATACCTGGAAAACTTTGCCTTCCTCGATCGTCGAGGGTTTATCGTAATTCAGTCGAGATTGAGGATGAGGCAACGTTGAATATGGTTCGTTTGTTGATGATTCCAAAGATTCTATGATTAAATTTGATTTTGTTGTTGCGATTTGCTGAGGAGTCAGCGAGATTTCTATCTTATACTTTCTGTGTAAAAAGAATAATCTTAATAATCATGTTCTTAAAATATTAATTTATTAGTATTAATGAAAAATCCTCAATTTACGTAGGAGTTGTGTGACGTATATTTTCTTTCAACGTTGAAGTCCCTAAAGTCGGCTGAAATCATAAACGAGTCTTTAAATTTTGGAACTTGAAATTCTCTGTAATCTTCAACTCGCCCACATAAGAAAATCCTCCACCTTTTTCCCTGTGATTGGATAATTCGT